AAGCACTTAGTCTGTTCCCTTCCCAATTCTCCCGACCCCTGCCCTCTTGTCCGGTTTCCAGATGTTCCCCCTCCTCAGGAAGCATCAGCGTACGCCCACCCTTTGGGTCTGGGCACTGAGGCTCAGCTCCCGTCTCACTGGCGTGGACTCGCCCTGGCAGAGGGTGACACTTGGTGTGGTCGGGGCAGTGGCTGAGGGAAGCGCTGGGGCTGGAGGAGCCAGGGGAGGCTTCTAGCCGGGAGTCAGAGAGGGTGTCCTGAAGGAGGTGACACGGAGCTAAGCCCGGCATCGGAAGGTGGGCCAGGTTGTAGGTGAGGAGGGGTCAGGCTCCATCTGAATCCCCAAGCCCCAGGGGCCTTTCTGAGCCCAGGACCTTTAGCTTGGACCCTGCAGCTCCCTAGGGAGGGGGCACGGACTCCTGGGTCCACATTATCGGGAACTTTGAGGATGGAAAAGGTGGACCTTCAGAGCCCCTTCCAGCTCAGGGAGGAGCCCACAGCCAAAGAGAGCATGTGTGGGAACAGACAGGGGAGGTGTTATCTGCCCTGGCCGCTTGCAGCCGCCAGATTTCTCTCTGGGGCTCCTCGCCCTGCGCTTCCTAGGCCTCCTGCGCTTCCCCTTCTGCATATTCTCCCTGGACAGTGCCGTCCACCCCCTGGCGGGTGACCACCTCCTGGACTGAGTATGCTCGAATGGGCCATCTCCAGTCTCAATTCATTCATTTGCCAAGCGTTTACTGAACACTGGCTGCGTTAGGTCCACGCCAGGTGCTGGGGAAACCGTAGGGAACTGAGCAGACACGCCCCTTGCCCTCACGGAGCTGAGATCTATAGGGGGAGAGATGACAAGTGACAAGTGTGATGAACCAAAGTTGGTTCACCCACCTTGTTCCTACCCACAGCAGCCCCCTAGGCCCTCATATCGCCATCACAAATACGTGTCTGTGTGTTGCTTGTTTGTATCTGTTTCTGCAACTGGAGTGCAAGCTCCTGAGAGCCTGTCAGACACATTTATTTGTCGATGACATGGTCTCTCCAGTGTCTAGAATGGTATCGGGTATGTGGGAAGAGCTCAGAAAATGTTTGTGAATGAAGGAAAGGTGGGAAAATGAGAAGGAGAAAACAGAGAAATCGGCAAAGGCGGGGAGGGAGTACTTTACCCAGCTAGACGGAGAAGACCTCTGTGAAAATGTCATGTCTAAGCTGCAACGCGGTTGAGAAAGAGCAACCAGGCGAAGGAATGAGGAGGGCATTCTGGGCGCAGGAAGCAGCAGGTGCAAAGCCCAGGAGGTAGAGAGCGCTTGGCACACTGGGAGGAAGGGAAGGCCAGTGTGGCTGGATTAGAGCGAGCGAAGGGGAGAGTCGCAGGCGATGAGGTCAAAGAGGAAACAGGTGCCACATCCTGAAGTGCTCTGAAGGCCGCAGTGGGGTCAATAGCCCCAGTGCACCCTCTGACACTGGCCTGCATTCTCTCAGGC